TTCAACAACAACAGCAACTATCATGGTTGGTCATATAGTCAGCCAGATGTTTAGACTGGATTTGGCATATTTGTCCACCTATCAAGTCCTTCCCAAGGACCTGGGATAGGCAGATGTTGTGGTTTGATGGTGTTAAAGTTATTGTCGCAGGATATAAGCTGTTCCAAGTAAAGCTGTTGTTGCTGCTGTTGTTGTTATTATATTGTTATGGCTGCCCACTCCAACAGACTCTGGATGGCTTACAAAATTCAAAAAATAGTAAAAATGACACAGTCCAGTCTAAAACAACCATAACAATAACAAAAACCACAACAGGCCCCCCACAATCACATTAACCCCAAACCTGGGACCAGAGCATGTATGTATTTATATATTTTATGTTTTTAATGTTTGTTGTGAATTGCCCAGAGTTCCCCCATTGGGGGGAGATGGGCAGTTGAAAAATTGAATGAATGAATGAATGAATGGCTCTCTGGAACTCCAGGAGAGAAGGTCTGGATCTCTGAGGGAATGCTGTTCCAGAGGGCCATGACAGAGAAGGCACACTTCCTCAGTGGCTAAGATGACAACATTTAATTGAGGGAACCTGGAGCACACCCACTCTGCCCAAATGTACTGGGCGGGCAGAAACAGTTGGAGGTGGGAGGTCCCTCAGATAACCAGGCCTTATGCCATACAGGACTTTATAGGTAACAACCAGCACTTTGAATTGCACTCAGAAGCCAGTTGGTAACCAATATCACTTGTGTAGCAGCAGTGACACATGGGCATAATGAGAAGCATCCGTTACTGCTTGTGGTACTGCATTTTGAACGAGTTGCAGCTTCTGGATGGTATTCAAGGGCAGCCCTATGTACAACGCATTGCAATAGTCCAATCATGAGGTGACCAGGGTGTGAGTAACTGTCTGAAGGGCCTCCCTGTCAAGGAAAGGGCACAACTGCTGCACAAGATGAACTTGTGCAAAGGGTCTCTGGCCACAGCTGCCATCTGCTCTTTGAGCAGAAGCTGTGAGTCTAGAAGGACCCCCAAGTTGTGCACTAGTCTTCAGTGGGGAAGTGCTTCCCCATCCAAGACCAGTGATGGAAATGCACCTGACCCAGGGAGGCCAAACAGCCACAACCACTCAGTCTTGTCAGGATTGAGCAGAAGTCTGTTCTACCCCATCCAGACCCAAACAGCCTTCAGACTCTGGGTCGGTCCATTGACAGCTTCACCTGTGCAGGTTGGGTTTGAGAAGTACAGCTGGGCATCATCAACATAATGATATAGTTCAGTGTTGTCCCAAATTTTGCACACCTTAAATGATGGTGGTTCTTTACTCCCCCATCCACATC